CCCACAGGGTATGAGATGTTATGTAGCAGTCTCATGTAACTGTTGTGACCACCCTTTGTGTGTGCTGCTTATGGGGCTAGTCAAATGGTGCTCTATTGTGATCTGATGCCAGCCTTGAAAGGGGCTCCCATGTAGGCCAAGGTCAGCTGCTGCCTTTGATTGTTCAGGGCTTCCTGGTAGGAGCTACTAAGTGATTCATGGATGGTTGCTGTCTATGCTGGATATGGAGGCTAGTGGGAGAAACACACTGCGAGCTGAAGTTGGTTACCCCTAGTACTGGGTCTGGAGAAGCTTAACAAAAGGACCAGTATACCTCAAGGCCTGGGGCTACCTACCAGCTATGCATGTGACTCTGCAGCTGGAAGAGCCTTTGAGTGGTATGCAAGTTGGGTAGGGTGAGGGACCAGGGAGTCACTGGGATAATGCAAACAAATTTCACCTGGCCAATGCAGAGTCAATTTTCATGCCAGTACTGAATCTGCAGCTTCTTCTAAAAGTCTCACATTGCAGCAATGCCAGTCCCTGTCATCCTCAGACCCTCAGACCCTTGTGATGTACTTGAGATACTACACCAGTTTTCAGAAGGAAGTGGTGTCATTTTCTCAATGGTCTCATAGAAGTTGAGTAAAAATTCCTCTCATATGAAACATCTAAAATGGTCAAAGGTATATAAGTGGACAATAGAATTGTGGTACCAGAGAATGGGGTGGGGGGCAGGATATGGGGAGTTGTTGTTCAAAACGAATAAAGTACAGTTGTATAAGTGGAGTAAGTTCCAGAGATCTGCTGAGTAACGTACAGCCTATAGTTAGCAATAAGGGATTGTACACAGAAAAACTTGTTAAGAGGGTAAATCATGTTAAGCGTTCTTAACACTAAATCAAGGACACAAGGAATCTTTTGGATGTGATGGATATGTTTATTACCTGGATTGTGGTGATAGTAACAGGAGTATATACATATGTCTAAACTCACCAAATTGTATATATTAATTACGTGCAGTTTTTGTCTGCCAATTATACATCAATAAAGTGGGAAAATAAAATAAAAATTTAAAAATGAGTTTGAGAAGCCGTTGAATTGGGAGTTTAAGGGGTTCTTTGTAAAAGCAATCGCTTGAGTGAGGGAGGCAACCCAATTGCAGTTGATTGTGTAATGAAAGGACTATAAAAGCTGTTAGTATTGAGAGAACCATGTATTCTCTCTCTCTTTTCCAACATTTGTTATTAATATTAATGAAGATAATAACAGAGAATTTAGTGTACACTAAATTGTGAAGCAGGAAAAAAGGAAAAGCTACTACACCATTTTCTAATCTAATTGGTCCATGAATCCGTTTCTGTATAATATTAGTCTTTACTAAATTGCATGTGCCTGGGAATACTTAAATATTTTCAGTGATTCATGAATAGCTCTTTAGAGAATGATGATTGGCAGCTATTTAAGGGATAGTGGGGAAGTAAGGATTTGTGTGTTTTTGTGGGTGAATGGGAGAGCTGTGAGGAAATATTCTGATAAAAGGATTAAATTCCTAGGGAGAGTTTTATTCTCCAACTTCCACTTCCCCACCTAAAAGTGGATTTTAAAAAATAAGTAATTCGTGGAAAAGAAAGTTAGTTAATCTTAAGTTTGCTAATGGACCACTACTCCTACACTGGTATCTTTGCCATTTAACAGTGTGTTTTCTAGACAGCTGGCATAGTAATTAAGACCTAATGAGGAATGGGAGAGAACTTAATGCATGAATCAAAAAACACTTGATAGGAAGCGAGATTGCCTAGAATTCCTCTCTGTGGCTTATTTTTCACAGCTTCATGGTAACCTTTTCATTCTCATCAGAAATTATACCAAGAAAACATAAAAGAAAAGAGCTTTTTTTTTTTTTTACTGTTTTCTACTAGTTCTGTCTTATTTGCTCCTTTATTTTGCTGATCGGGGATAGTAATCTGAGCAATTTAACTGTGTGATCCTTTTGTGATGATTAAGTGAATTGTATCTTCTCGCCTAGATTAATATCATACCTTTAAAATGTACTAAAAATATTCTTTTCCAGTTATGAAAATGTAGTTAAATGTATGTTTGCTTTGACAGTTCCATTGACTACATCTTAGAGATAGACAGAATAATCAGAGTAGCTGCCCATATTGTTTGAAAAAACTAACTCGAAATTTGCTGTCTGTTATAATATAGTTGTTGATTCAACAGTGTTAGTCTTCTAAATGTCTAAGAAGAAAAAAAGAAATGTCTTTAAATCAAGGCTTGCATTTTACATGTTAAAACCAATTAAAAATAACATTAAAAGTTTCTATAAAAAGTCTGCAAGCAAAAACAAGGATTTTTTTTAAAACAAAGTAAAAAATAGGTTTAACCAGTCACCCAAAAGTGCTGTTGGTCTTTCAGCCATTTCAATTCCATTCTTTTGCTTTTGAGAGAGTCAGTATTTCCCTGATACAGAACTTCTGACTTACCTCTAACTCCCACTTTCTACTTCCCACCTTCACTTCTCCCATTTCCTTTTTCTTTCCCCGTGTGGAATTTAAGAGAAAAGAAATGTGGTCAGCACTGATTTAAAAATAAAGAAAAATAACTTGGCTTTACCCTACACCTAACTGCAAACTCTAGCAAAGGTAATAGATGACTCAGTTCCTTAATTTCAAGTTCTGTGTCTACCAAAATATATTTATGTTTGAGCAGTTTTAAAGATTTTTACTACTCTGGGAAGCAAATTGTTTAAAGTATAGGAACAATTAACATCTATAATGTTAAATTATAACAAAACCTCTTCTCAGCCATATTGACTTTGTGGGTGTGCACATGAAATATAAATTTATGTACAATTACTTAGTGTGAGCCTATAGCCACCACATAGAATGACCTCTAGAATTTTCACTGATTAATAAGTCCACCTATTTGCTTGTTTTCCAATTAGCAGAGCTGCTTGTCTTGAAGAATAACCAGACACATTGACAGCGTGTTAGCTTTCAAATTTTCACTAATGTGGAAGCTATCTGTAAGCAAAAGAAAACATGCCTTATTTAGCTATATCATTTTACACCTTTTTATTTTAGAAATCCTTGATTTTTTAAATTTATATCTTATAAAAAATAATTAACCATGCTTGAATATGTTGCTAGTAAAGCAGAACTGTATACAAAGCAAGGGAGAATGGAAATATAAGGCAAGCCCAGAAAGAATGATACCAGTAATAATCTTGTTGATAAGCAATATAACCCTTATTCTGAGAGTACCAGTACTAATATCACCTCTGAAACTACACCTAATAATAGTTTCCCCTCCCTTCATTTAATTTAATTGCTGATTAGATAGGTTTTTAAAAGCTTGTGATTTTAAATGTCTAAAGAACAAATAGATAATAGTTTCTTCTGTCTAGGAACCATTCTTTTACTAAAAAAAATAAACTGAATTTATAGTGAACTTTGCATTAAAACTCTGGTAACATTTCCCTGAATATCTTAACTTCTAATTCTTATGTACTCATATGTGAGTTCCTGGATCAGCCCTGTTTTCCTTTTGATCATCCCCCATGTTCATACAAGGTGCACCTATATGTCTTTCCATGGAAAGGAATGGACTTGGAAAAATCTTAAGAGGGCTGATAAATATTTTTGTTCCGCTTTCTATGGTGAAATAAAATGTTGGTTGCCAAGGGGTTAAAAACTTCTACTGTTATTTATGCAAATAATCTCCATAACATGGCTATGCAGAATGAACAGAGAGAAACATTGTTGTCCTGCTTTTCTAAGAATAGAGGTAGGGGTAATTTAAAACAGGGAATTATCTTGTAGATACCCTACATGTGAACTAGCTATTTCCCTTCGCTCAGCACAGAGCTTAGTAGACTGGTTTCTCTGAATTAAATTTTTTTTCTTGTTTTTTCTTTTTTTTCTCATTTTTAGAATATTGAATTTTGATCATAAAAGAAATACATGTTCATTATATAAAATACTGGGAAATACAATAAAAATTTTGGAAATAATCCTACCCCTCAGTGATAACCATTCTTAAAATGGGGTGAAGAAATATTTTTGCCATTGTTTCTCTTTGCATATATACAGGTGTTTGCGTGTTTGCGTACATTCAAAAACACGTCTTTTCACAAAATTGGAAATGTACTATATTTATAGCTTTGTACTATGTATTTAAAAATTACTGTTATCACTTTTCTCTTATTACAATGAGCAGTGCATGTTTATTTTAAAAATATATTTTAAATATAAAAGAGCAAATAGAAGAAAATAAGAATTAGCAAAATAAATAAAATTAAACAAAAAGAAGAAAAATAAATATTGTCTGGAATTCTATCTAGAAAAAATAATGGCAATGTTTTGGTGTAAATAGTCAGTCTTCTTTTTCTCTATATGTACACTTTTGTTTACAAAATTAGGATCACCGTGTACCGATATAGTAGGTTTTTTCACTGAACCTCATTTTTTCACTTTCCAATATATCATGAATATTTTCTTTATTATCAACTATTATTCTACTTCATTTTTAGTAGTTTCATAGCATTTATTATAGAGATAGGTCTGAAATGATTTCTTCAATCCTCCATTGTTAAGCATATAGGTAACTTCCATTTTTCTATTATAAACAACACAATGGTGACCATCCTCATACTTGTACCTATCCACACTTATTTCCCTAAAACACATTTTTATCATCAAAGTATTTATGAAGTGAATTTGCCATTTGTGTCTTTTTTTTTTAGTGAACAATTTTTATTGAAACCCTCAAAGATTAAAGAGGACCAAATGGTGAGTTTGGGTACCGTAACAGAAAATCTCACCTAACTGTACCATCATTCTCAGTAATGAACAAACCTAAATGCACAAAATTCAAATTCTCTTGTAATTGCTACAAGTGAATGTAAATTTTACAATAGAAAAATCATTTAAGTGATCTTGAAGAAAGCATTCTCAATAAAGTTTTGAAAAATAAACAATGAAATCATGGTCTTTTTTTTTTTTTCTTTTCTATAGAAGAGTCCAATGAAGTGGTTCCAAATGAGGCAGGAGCTCATAAGGAGGAGGACCACCATGCAATAGCTACGGATAATGTGGTATGTACATTTTGAAAGACTTGCTCATTACATGATAGATTTCAAGGTTATGTTTCCAGTTGGTGACAATTAGCATTGTCTTGCTCTACTTTGCAAATGAAAACAGATCTGTTACCAATGAAATTATGTATCTTTGAGATTTACTAAATGAAATTTAATGCACTGTCATTTGAACCTCATTTTTTTTTAATTTAGGAGGTTTGCATCTATAAAAACCTAATGGTTACTACACATATGACATTTTATACATAACAAGTTATTTTTCTTCAACACATTTAGCAAAGAGCAAATTTCTTTTCATTTGACAGATGGCAGAATTAAAACAGAGTTTATCCTGAGATTATGAAGGAAGCCTTTGTTAATTCTGGGACTTATATTCAGGGATACATGATTCCAAGGTCTACGTTCAGACCATATTTATCTAATGTACTATGTTTGGTATCTTTTCTTTTCTTAGCTAAATTGAACTCTATTATATTAAAAATTGCAGTAATGAGGGAAAGACAGTATTAAACAATTGCATAGCAGGCAGAGACAGGCTATGTGTGGATTAAACTGGGTTTTGTAAAAATATAAACATTATCAGTACATAAAGATGACCTCTTAGTAGCTATTTTAGCAGCATCTGTTTATATTCTGACTCTATCAAATAATACAAAAATCAAAATGATATTAAAGTCAGACAAAGGCAAATGTCATTGTACTGTTGTTTTTGCTTTTGAATAAGTGTTTTGTGCTTGATTGCAACCTTTAAAAAATGGTATCTACAATGGATTTTTCGGTTACAAAATGTCTGTAACTTCAAGATTTACCTTAGCTTTCATTACAAACATTTATCTAACACTATAATCCTACTACATCTCCTTAATAAAAGTTGAGCACATGAAATAACAGTTTTTGTTAATTTTTTGTTAAACATTAACAATATATAACAGTGTTTTCCACCTATAGGATATAGTTTAAGATTGCATTTTATTAACTTTAGTCCTGTTCTAAGTTAATGTTTGACCTTTCTAACACTAAATTCAATGGGTGCACAGAAAAACAAGCTTTTATTTTGGGGCAAAGTCATGTTTTCATTATATAGATAATTGTTTTCCACAATTATTAATTGTACTAATATTCTTAAATCCCACCAAGTAATAATCTTCTCTGCTCTAGATTTGAATTACACTATACAAATTATATACAATTATTTAAAAATTGGAAACTCTTTTTCCCTAAGGACACATTCATTTTTCTTTAGCCTGAATTTCTCTGCACTGGCTCTCTCCTCCAGTAAACATTTGAAGATAATGAATGAAGTCATGGTGTAGGATGACTGACAGTCACTTAGGTACTTAATTTTTCAAGAACAATTGATTTTCAGATACAAATCTCCAAAATTTCAAAGGTTGATCTTCTCTGCCTGTAGCTTTTGAGTGCCCCCAGTTATTCATGGATAACAAATCACAAAGACATATAAGACCTATTTATATGCACAAATCTATACATTGGCCTTTGGTACCGTTGTCCCTGGATAACTTAACTCCTTTTTTCCTGGAACCAATCCAAATATATAGAGAATCTAAAGAATAAAATTTAAAAAGCATCAAATCTAAGTTCTGGTGAGAGCCAGATTAAGCCCTAAGTTTATATAGTCATTATAATAGAAAACAAAACATTCGATTCATCTCCAGGCAGCTGTAGAAAGCAACTTCATTGCAGCTGTCCTCTTGACTCAGAAGCCTGCAGGTCACGAATCCTGTTATGGTATTATATTCTCATAAGCAATATATAAAATATGATCATTCTAAATTTTTTTTTGCAATTTTTAATATTGCTGGGTAGGAAGCTTGATTTCAAATTCTGCCTATGACATGTTGCTATTAATGTGCTTTAATGTGCTCATTCTTAAAAAACTGCTTAGTGATTATAGCTTAACTTTTCTCTTTTTAAAATTTTCTTTTGGGTTTGCAGGATTTAAATATGTAAAAGTGCTTTTTCTTGACTGGGTTTTTCATATGCAACAGAAAAATTTAGTACTTAATTTGCTTTTGATTTTATTAAAAAAAAAAAAAAAAACTTTCCATGATTAGATAACTTGCCTTGACCTCATGGTTGAAGCTTATTGGTCATTCTTTTCATCAATGTTAAGCTGTTTTGTTTTTTCTTTTGACAAATACTTAATTAGTACCTACTGTGTGCAAGATACTGTACAAACAATGCTGTACCTTAACTCTAAAACTTTTTGCTGTTTAAGTCTCTCTCTTTTCCTTCCTACTGTCTAATGATGGAAACAAGTCACTATGCTATTTTGATCATTACATCCTGCAAGTCTGCTTTCAATTGTCTAGCTAATGGAGTGCAGTAAATAAGTAAATAAGTGAATATGTTTTAAAATTGTATTTGACTTTGAAATACATGTCATATGTTGACATTTTACATTACATGTTGCAAAGAGGTGTATGGGTACTTAAAAAGAAAGCCCTTACGAACAATTAGGTATAATTACCATTACAAACATACTCTTACAGGAAGCGATTTTCCTGTCATTGGAGGGTGCTATTTAAGCAGAATTTGAATGCTATTTTTTTTTTCAGGGATATTGCGAAAGGATTTTTTTTTATTTCCTATTTTAAATAGTATTGCAGTAATTTTGTATTTACTAAGCATTCATCAATTAAAGGTAGAAGGAAGTGGCTCAGACACACAGTAGGTGTAATATTGAGGATCCAGTGGGTTATCAGAGTTTATTCCCAATAACTAGACTAAATAATGCCATCACTTAAACTAAGCATTGAATGTATGTGCCCTATACATTGTTGAGTATAGTGATGATGATCAGGTATATATTTATAAAAACTTCACCTGTGTTACAGAAAATAGAAATTATTGACGATGAAGAAAGTGACATGATAAGTAATTTGGAAGTAGAACAAGTGAATTCTCTCTTGGATTATAAGGTAAAAGTAATTTCAGATTTTGAATTCATTAAGAGAAGGTGTTAAATGAGGTGGCCTTTTACAATACTTATGTACTAGTTTATTTCACTCCCATTTGATAAACATCCTGGGATTCCACATGTGACTCCCTAAGACAACTTGGATATCCTTCAGCACTTTAATTAACGCTGGCTGATTTAGTGGTTACAGTTGTAAGCATAGTGTTTGCTAAGTGTGAGTAGATATTGATGGTATATGAAAAGGTAAGGTAGTGCATAGTGGTGGTTAATGTGAAATTTATGACAATGCTTTTTTAAAGTCAATGTTCACTTTTAAATGGTGGTAAAGGGAAAAAAAGTCCAGATTTTTTTCTTTGCTAATTTTATCTCAAATTGCAACTTCTGAAGACCACTCTTTTGTCTTTTTTTTTTTTAATTGAAGTATAGTTGGTATACAATCTTATATTGGTTATATTAGTTTCAGGTGTACAATATAGTGATTCAACATTTTTATACCTTACAATGTGATCACTTCACTAATTCTAGTAATCAATTGTCACTGTGTAAACTTATCGCAATATTATTGACTATACTCCCTTTCCCTTTTCATCTCCTTTCTGGTAACCATCTCTTTGGTCTCTGTTTCTATGAGTCTGTTTTGGTTTTGTTTTGTTTGTTCGTTGGTTTTTTTTTTTTTTTTTTTTTAGATTCCACCCATAAGTGAAACCAAACAGTATTTTGAAGACCATTTTTTAAAAATATAATACTATATCTGTTTTAGAAGTTTAAAAACATTCCTTAAATCAAATACAAAATCAGTATGAATAGAATGTACTTTTCTTAATGGTACTTGTTATTAAACTTGAAAGGCTTACTTTGAAATGCCATATAAGCTATCAGTATATATGTTAATATGTTTTCTGCATACATGTGTAATTGCTTTCCCCTTGTTCATCAGTATCCTATCTCACAAGGCGACTTTAGGATCTTCTGAAATTTTGGCCATACAATCTTTCCATACAATCATTCTTTCTTAGAATATCATAAGAGTTCAAAGCAGAGACTAATACTTAGATATTAATGGAAAATAACATTTAATCAGAAAAGACAACAGCTGTCATTTTCTCATTCTTTTCAATTTTACTATAATTGAAAGTTATGTCATTCAAGAGATTCTATTTTCCAAATGTTCATAACATGTAAGACTTTAAAATATTGGTCATTGTAAACACAGGAGAAAATTATCTTTTGAAATTTATTTTCTAAGTGATCAAGAGCACAGTAAAATTCTATATTTAAACTGTATTTCCAACTAATAAAATTATAAATTTGTTAGTTCTGAAGTATAAGAAATCATTCTAATCTCTCTTACATGATCATATAATATTTCTAAATGCCCAGTTCAGAATTAAAATGGCTCTGCAAGCCACCAATTGGCACAGGCTATGGAAACTATAGACGAGAGGACTAGATTGCACAGCTGTTAAGTGTGCTCCACTTAGCACTCTCAATCAGTTCAGATATGGTTGGGCCCAGAACTCTGAGGATTCTTTCTAGGACCTTTCTGCTCTGGTGTTCCAACCTACTTGAGAAGAATTTGAAGCTGAAGACCAGAGCACAGCAGATTGTCCAGCCCAGAATTGTCAAGTAACATTTTCATTGAATTCTAAAGGATATTTAACGATATACTGTTTTATACTGTGGTAAAAGCTGTGGGAACAAGGGATCTTTCACCACCTTATTAAGGATGTCTTTTATAATACATCAGTATCCTATATAAACTTCCTTAACTTTCAAAAATCAGCACCTATATAGAAAAAAATATATTTTTATAATCATTATTAAAAATATTTCAGTTCACCTACTCTGAGTTTTGTTACCTTAATTCTAAACTAAGGGTAAGTGAAACTTCATATAGCAGTTCTCATTGCTGATTTCAGGACGTTGATTTAAAACAGACTTATCAGCTTGGAAATTTAATCTTTCTTCAGAGAACATTGGTGTACTCTATTTGCATATGCATGTTAGTATTCCTTGTTTTGGGATCAAAATCATTTTGTTAGTTTCTAAGTATATTCATCATAACATTCTCTAAGGAAGAGACTTATTTATCTATGTATTATCTGTTCCTAGCACAAAGGTGTCAAGTGACTAGTTCCTGAGTGAGTGAATAAAGTATAATTGGAAGTACATTTAATATTATTAGGCAAGTATTCATTTATATAAAATCAGTTAAGACAAGAAGCTGGGTCATTATAACTTTTTTCCCACACGAAATTAAACAATCTCCCATTACTCTTGGGATTCACTGTAGCAAAATAGAAGAATGTTTCTGATATATATTTGCTAATTGTTATTGTGCAACCATCAATGCTCAGTTTGGAGTTTCTGACTGAGATATATTACTAGAAATCCATATTACTAGGAGTTCTAACTAACCCAAAATGCTTATGAGACAAGTTGATGAGTTCAGTCCCTGAGGCATAAGTAACTATGTCATAAAATAATGCCTCAGGCTTGGCAATCATTAATAGCCTACTTAGGGATCAAAGCTCCTATCCACATGAAGCCTTGAATGTTCCCTGCAATCATTTTGGATAATTGGCAAAGCTTACTGGGAATGTAGGGATAATTTTAACAAGAATAATGAGCTAGATCTTGTCTTCTGAAATTCAGTTAACTTACTAGTTCCTCTCACAAACATTCTATTTAGGAAAATCTCTAAAGTATACATAAATTACTGCCTATAATCTATAAAGTGTTTACTAGGCCTACAAAAAGCAGATCTAAGAAGAATATGTCTGCAATATTAAATTATCTTAAAGCTGTTTATGTTTTTCAAACAGTGCATAAATACTGAAGAGGAATATTCTCATGAGAAATTAGAGATCTGCATACCAAAACATACTTCATGACTTTTGCAAATGCGAATTAATGTTTTTAAAATGCTTTTTAATGGACTGCGAGTGCAGCGCAAAAGGATTATGCATTCAAAGGAGACACTAAGATAATGATAGGCACCTATTTGAAAAAAGACTTCCTGGTCAGCATTTTATTAATACTATTGTTCTGATAATTAATATAAAAAATAGAATTAGTCAAATGTATTAAGGCAAGAGCATGCTGAATTTTATTATAATGTCTAGCTCTAACTTAGATTGCTGAAGAGTGCTTTTGGACAAGGAATTTAGCTTGAATCATCAGATGATTCATTTGATATTAAACGGTCTTAAATAGAAACAATTTTATTAGGTAAAATAAGTTCTAAACTAAGCTGATTAAAAAAAGTTGATGCAGTAAACATGTCATAGATTGAATATGATTAACACAACGGTATTCTCTCAACTGAAACAACAAAAATGCTCGTAGAATTAATGAATTCTAATGTCTTTTATGAAGCTTTTTAAACAAATGCCACTAAAACTCCTGCTCTGCTGTTTGAGACCAATTCTCCAGCTTCGAAGAATACTCAAAACTTATTTTCATGTTTCTTTGACACAGGGGTTGGCTAATAATTTATTTAGTTATTTGAACCATGTTTTTGATATATAATTTTCATACAAAGAAAATTCACCTTCTTATACAGTTAGATGAGTTTTGACAGCTAGATACAGTTGTGTAACCACGACCAAAATCTGTTTATTCATCTGCTGATGATCACTTGTGTTGTTTCTGGTTTTTGACTATTATAAAGTTCCTATGAATATTCGTGTATGTCTTTTTGAGGATATGTGTTTTCATTTCCCTTCGGTAAAAACTTAAGAGTAGGATTGCTGAGTCAGATGATAAGAGTATGTTTAATTTTATTAGAAACTGCCAAAATATTCTTCAAAGTGGATGTGTCATTTTACACTCCCACTAACAATGTATGAGACTTCTAATTGGCCCACATTCGCACCAGCTCTTGCTATTGTCAGTCTCTTTAACTTTAGCCATTGTAGTATGTTAGTAGTAGCGTCTCATTGTGGTTTTAGTTTGCATTTCCTTAATAATAAATGATATTAAGTGTTTTATTGTGTTTATTAACCCTTCATATATCTTCTTTCATAAAGTGTGTGTTCAAATATTTTGCCTGTTTTTTATTCTGTTTCTGGTCTTATCATTGTATTGTAAGAGTTCTTTATGTGTTCTGATTATAAGTCCCTATCAGATATGTGATATTTACAAATACTTTTTCCCAATATGCAGCTTGTATTTTTATTTTCTTAGCAGCATCTTTTGAAGGCCAAAGAGGTTTTTTTTTTAATATTTTATTTTGATGAAGTCTTTAAGTTTCATGCTTTTTGCATCCTCTTGAAGAATCTTGGCTTCTAAGCCAAGGGCACAAAGATTTTTCTCCTCCGTTTTCTTATGAAAGTTTTATAGTTTTACTTTTTACATTTAGGTCTATGATTCATTTCTTGTTAAGTTTTGTATATGATGTGAGATAAGGGGTTTTTTTTTTAATATTGATTTACAATTGTTTAACCATTGTTCTTTAAAAGACTATCCTTTCTTTGTCCATTAAATTAACTCAGTGTATTTTTTTTTAAAGTCAATTAAATATATATTTCTGGACTTTCTGTTATGTTTCACTGACCTATATGTCCACCCTTTTACCAATACCACACTTTCTAGATTTCTTGATTACTATAGTTTTAATAGTAAATCTACTCAGAGCACCTTTATGGCTATTATCTTGTTTGAGCATTTAACTCTCAAAGCTAGACTTACCAAAGATTACTAATATCATATCAATTTTACTGATGAGTAAACAGAGTGACAGAGAAGTTAGTTGACCTGCCCAAGTTTACACAATTATCAACAATCTTGGCACTAAAATCCTCCCAAATCCTAGTCTACAAAAAAAAAGGGAGACTTGATCTCAAATTAGTGGTTTACAGTGGTACATTTGGAGATATTTTCTGAATAATAGACTTTTACATAAAGGCAGAGAGGGGAACGCTCAACAAACTAACTCTTAGTAATTATTACTTAGACAGTCTTAGTTATAAATTCGGTATCTCTTTGGTACAAAATAATTTTTAGTTCTCAGCATTTGGCATTGTAATTCAGAATTTCTGCATTTGCAGGTGCTCTTTACTTGGGGTTAATTGGACTCTCTATATTCTTAATCTTAATCCAAATGCTAATTAGGTTTAATATAAGAAGAGTCTTCCAAGGGGAGGGGAACTGTTTCTTGATTTTTCTCTTACTGGAATTTATTTGATTGAATTTTTGAACTTGCAAATATTTTTCTATTGGTGATTTGCTTAAAAGGCAGCCTTTGAGTAGCAGAATAACTTCCTTCTGTGCTTTATATTTCTTTATGCTAAAATTTTATCTTCTTCATTGTCCCTCTCTTTTAATTGCCTTTTTAGAATTTTATTGTGCATCAATCATATACAGTCTTAGGTTTGCATAAGATAATTATATTGTTTGATGTTTTCTTCTTCAGAATGAAGAAGTCAGATTCATTGAAAATGAGCTAGAAATTCAAAAGCAAAAATACTTTAAACTTCAGACGTTTGTTAGAAGCTTGATACTAGCTATGAAAGCTGACGATAAGGAACAACAGCAGGTAGGTGCCAGAAGAGACTAGTAAACTGTAATGTATCATGTTGAAAAATGTCATGTTGCATTGGGTTTTTCACATATTTTTGTTTGTTTTTATATTTCATTTCTGCTGGCCATTAAAAAAGAATTTGTTACTTATGACCTTTTTGAGCACAGTTTTCTTGAGAATAGATATTCAAAATTTGTGTAAAGCTTTAATGGAAAATCAAAATAACTGATTAACATACTTTAATTCCAAGTTAGCCTTAAATAGGGAATTTTTAAAAATTAATTTTAAGGAAATTCTCAAAATGTTTGTAGTGATGGCTACATTAACTGGAGAGACACATATCTGGGGGCCTTTCGTGAATGAAAGAGGTGAAGCGTTGCCTTTCTTCTGAATTTCAGTTATCTTCTAGCCCCTACTAGAATTTACAAATGTTCAGATACCTTCTCTTTTATGAAATGTTGCTCATCACTAAAAAATAATGGAATTACTTTGTGAATTTTTCATGACCACGGTGTATCATTTCCTTTTCTCAATTTAACTAAAGTGTTTGATTCCTCTACCCCAAAGATGAAATTAATATATTGTTTACAAATTCCTCCCAAATTTTGTTTCTTATTTTTATGTGAAATTTGTATAATGATGTATTAAAATTGTTGAAAAGAATTATAATAAATGTTCCATTTAATAGTAAATGATTCCAAATTCGCCTCTGAGTTGTATATTGTCATGTTGATTCCTTGACAGAAAAGTTAAATATAAGTAGTATGTCACACAGGTAACCATTAACTATGAAGCAGTCTCAGAGGTTTTTATCCAGCAAGGAATCTCAAGAGTATAAAATTTCACCCCTTATATCCAAGCAACACTGCACGTACCATCCTAGATATCTCCAGGGAAAACGATTAGAGTCTTAGCATCTCACAATTCTCCTTTTTAAAAAAGAGAAAAATGTTTATATATTTCACCAAAGTACTCAACTACAAAATTTAAACTAAAAGAATTTATTCATGAAGCTTAACTAGCATGTATATTATGTAGCTAGTATCATGAATTTTGCTCTCCCATCACACACACACACACACACACACACACACACACACACACACACACATCCCAAGACAGTAGTCTTTAGTTATCTTTGCCAGCTTTATTTAAGACTATTGTTTTATTATATGATTTATGCAAATTCCATGGCATATTAAAATATGTTTGCTTTTTAGGAACCTAAACTAAAGATTTTATAGAATGAGGTGGTGGTCTTGAATATGGTCCCAAGGGTATGGTAAATTTTAAATAATCGTAAAAAAAAAATTAGGTTCAACCATTGGAATAACTTGGAGTATGGTTCTGGTCTCAAAAGTCATAGCATGGTTTTGAATTCAGAATTAGAGGACCAGGTAAATAACAGTTGTCTATGTCTTTTGATATCTAAGAATAGCACACACATCACATTTTATTTTCTAATTCTCACATTATTCCTGGATCGATTCCTTCCATAAGACCACTAACAAATAAGAAAAGTAACTACTGTACTTTTAATTTTTCTCCTTCTCTTATACTTTTTTTCTAATAAAGGCTAATCAACTAAGATGTGGACAAAATGTTGACTAAGAAAAAGAGAAAGTTATACAAAAAATGTACTGAAAGTCATAGCCTATATAATTAGCACCAAATAGAAATGACTGATTTGATATTGGGTATAATGGATCTCAAAATATGGTCTCAAAATACAGAAGACACAAAAGTTATTTGGGCAATGTCTTAAATTACTCATTTAACACTATGAAATACTTACAGGTTTATTTCTAGAAGGAATTAAATTTATTCTACCCAATAAAAAAGAACCATTGTGTCATTGGTTTCTTATTTTAAAAAAATCTTAAGTGTTTTTTTTATTAATCTTGATTTGGGTAAACTGAGTGAGATGAATGGTCTACAGAATATATTGCCTCAAAGAAGCAGTCTAGGCTTTAAAAGTATATGATATTGCCTGACTGAAATATTATATTACTCAAAGGTTTTTAAACCATTAGCCATTTTAAGATAAAAATAATGTTACCAGCCCTGTACTAAGTCATTACTTATGATCTCTCTTCCCCTGATAATTCACTATGTGATCCTAGCCAGATCAATTTGCTTTTCTTGAATTTCAATTTCTCCACTTTGCAAGGAAGATAAGAATGGTTAACATTATGGAATTTGACATTCATACCTTATAGAGACTGATGATATATTTAGGAAATGCTTTGATCTCTTGAGAAGAGTGGTACTAGGTCAGACTCTGAAGGTAGATTAATGAAGAAACTGTAGTAAATAAATTAATTGTATTAGTATCCAAGAAAAAGGCAGTTCTAGCAATTAGCACACTCCAAAGATTTGTTCAGTGTGTCAGTATTGTAATCCAGTAAGATACTGGAAAGAAAACATTTTAATTGGACCTTATCCATTAGTAGTGCCCTGTACTACCCCAAATATTAATGTTTTTCTATTTCACGCTATATTCATTTTGTCAGTCAAGTACATAAAATGCAACAACAAAGAAAAAAATAGTAAAGCTTCTTTGATTTCAAGGTCTTCCCACTATAATTTAGAATGTCATTAAGTCTGCTTATCCACTTGCCTTTTCAATATTCTAAGCACATGTTCACTGAATGTTCACTGGAACATTTTGCCCTCTCTAACATAGCTTCTTCATAATTACAAAGTGAACTAAATCCAGTGATGTATTTCTCATAAACTATGATCATCCAATGTCACCTGGATTTGGTTAGTGGTAAACAACTGTTCTAGAAGAAAATGGCATTGTGTCCTGTTACCACAACATAGCACCTTAAAAAGCATGTAGTACCTTTAGGTGACTGCTTTGAAATTACTCTGAATTTCATCAAGAAATTCATGATCTACTTAACAGTATGAAATAAATAACAGCTATTCCTTCAGGATCAGTTAGCCTTTCCTTATGCAGCCTGGCAAAAGGGAGAAAGTTTCTAATCTTGCCTCTTTGCTATAAGACAAAAAGTATAGGATTTATAGCTGCCACTTCTTTTAACAAATAAGTAAATATTGTCTTATTTCAACAGTGAATTTCCTATGTTCTCCAACATGCTCTGTCTTTCTGTCCCTTAATTGAGTAGTGGCAAGCTTGCATTTGTTTCTGTTACCTTGGTCCTTGTTTACCACTGCACTCAAAGCCTACACTGTAAGTAATACTGTTTAAAAATTTCCCAGACATGCTACATTATTTTTAATAGTGGGAACAGCAAGTCAGTAATTTAATTCACATTTTTTTATGATCAAGTAGGCATCAACACTGTCAGCCACGTGAAACTTGATTAATCATTTATTTCTCTGGTATGGACGCATGTTCTATAACCAGATGAAACAGTTACACCATGGCAAACTTCTTTCATGGCTCTCAGCTTATCTTAATTACTCCACCAGAGAAATGGGCAGCCCTCTAGATACATCATTACACAGCTAGATTCACTGGTTCAGCTGCACCTTGGTGGATGCTTGGCCATCTGTAGATATATAGGCATAGACTAAGAAAAGGAAAAAAAAAATCACTTGGTCTTTTCAAGTTGTTAAAGTTTAAAGTAAAATAGCTGAGCTTCTTTCTTAATTGCTAAGTTCTTTCTCCCACTGAAGTACAAAATTACCTTTTGTAAAATGCATTTTTTCTCTAAAAGACAGCATAGCTAGGCAAGAATATTTTAATAAGAAATATAATTTTAAAGCCCTTTAGCAATAATCAGTGAACACTCAAAACTAGTATAGAAATCACTTATCTTAAACACTTCAAAGCACTTGGTGCAGAATAGTTGTTCATTTCTCTCCTGATTTCCCTTTTGTCTGAGGTTCCACTGTATGTAATCTACACTCTCAAGATCTAGCGTTTTGTTATTTCCTTAATAGTATATAAAGAATTTATCTTTTAGGTAAGATATTGTATATGGTCCTGAAAGCAAAATGCTTCTTTTTTTAAATCCGTAAGAATAAATCAACATGAGAGGATCACAACTATTAACATAAAATTGGAAAAGATCTGTCCACATACTAATTCAAAAAAATTGATTTTTCTGACTCAGGCACTGCTGTCAGATTTACCTCCTGAATTAGAAGAGATGGATTTCAATCATGCTTCGCCGGAGCCTGATGATACCTCATTCAGTGTGTCTTCTTTATCAGAGAAAAATGCCTCAGACAGTTTGTGATTTGTAGGGGGGAGGTATATGATACAGACTTGGCTGCCTAACAGGTGTGCATTTCAAGATAACTTCATTCTGTTGCCCTGAAATTCTTCAGTTGGAAAAACATGTTGAAACCAACATATTCTGTGAAGGATGGACAAGATATAATGGCTACAATGCAAAAAATATATATATATGAAATTTAAAAGCATTGTTTAAGAGTTTTTTTTTTTTCCAAACTGATGGAACTCTGAGAAGATAATTGTATTTAATTTTGAGCAATTTAGCTATGAAATGCATAACATCTAATTTCTGAAAAGTTTTTGTTTGGTTTTATAGAAGAATTTTAGTTTTAATAATAGTTTTGACCAGACACACAAAAATAAAGGTATTTCAACATTGCTTATCAAGTTACTAAAGCTTAATTATTATTTTTGTAGCCATTACATCTTCTTTCTTTCTCTCTCCTTCTCCTAACATACACTTTAACTCAGGAAAATGGACTGAAAATTGAAAACAAAATTTTAAAAATGATTTAACCTGGATGAGTCTTGGGAATTATTTTTCAACCCCTTGAAAATTTTACTTAAACTAATGGTTGAAACTGAGGTGATTCCTAGTATATAATTGTAAATTGTTGGGATTCATTTATTATCTAACCCAAATATATGGGGGGAGGGGGAAAAGCACTAATGGAAAAGTAATTCACCAACATGAAGTCAAATAAATTTTTAAGTGTACAGAAACAAAATGTTGTAAGAGATTAGTCTTAATGGAAATTCTTCATTTCTACAAATGACAAATACTGATAAAACTTACATTCTACTAGTAAATTTGTGTAACTGAGTTAGATAAAATGTTGCACAACTATTACAAGTTTATCACCAGCGTCATGATATTTTTTTCAGTTCTTACGTTTTATGAAACAGGAATCAAGGTAAGCCATTAAGATCTTTTTTTTTTAATCTAGTCACTCAGCTTTGCCACAAAATTTACCTCATTTCCATGTGAAGCTTGTACAGAGCCATCAGCCAAGGATAATATCCAAAAAAATTATACCACTTTCGTTGTAAATCACACTCCTCTGGATTTCCTGGATACTATTCTATGAGTACTTTCCTAAAATGGGCATGTTATCCAGTTGTTCTATTAGTAGGTACCAGATGGCAATACGCTTTAGACAATTCTTTGAAGATCTTCCCTTACAGAGTACCAGATGGCATTACCAAGACTCATAAAAGGGAAAATGCCAGCTTCTCCCTGAGCAGACAGTGTCATATATTTGTGAGTTACAGTGTGGAATTGTGTCGCATGGTTAAATTACTATCTTTACATAAAAGATTAATGAAGAAGTTTACATGACTCTTTTGGCCATCAAGTTTCTACATCAGATATTTTTTGTAATTTGTAAGTTAAACAAATTATGATCTTGGAGTTCACAGCTACCAACTTATGAATGCAGAAAGGCAGTCATAAATGTCTTTGACCTTGAAATGTCCCCTCTCCCACACACAAATAGATAAGGTTTATTGATAATCGTCTTGTCAGCTATTTGTTTAATATCGCTAACATCCTACTGCTATGATTCTTTTGTTAGCAGAAATATTTCAGTGGTTAGGTATGCTCCTTGTTAGCTGACAGCTGTATGGTTTATTGCAAATGATGTTTAATATTCCTTGCTGACAAGTCAAATTCCGTTCAGAGAGTAGAATGCTGAGTATCACAACCTCAGATATTAAGATTAAATTTATCAGTTACACCAATTCCTCCATGAGAGAAAGAGTCCCTACTCTATACAGCAAATATATAAATCATTTCTTAAGGTAGCATGAACAAATTCCAGGTCTTCAAGTTTCTCCTAAGATCTCCTTCCTAGTCATTAAATTTATCTTTAAACTTTAATTTCTTCTATTTTAATTTAAGCCTCTTCTTATTTGGTTCTTGTTACAAAGTAAGGATAGATGATTCTCTCCTACAGTTTTCAACTCTATGGATTTTATTCGTCATACCTCAGCAATTAGTCACTAAATCAAATAGTATTCATTGATCTACTGCTATATGGACATTGGATTTCTCCTCCTCAGCAAGCCATAAATTTCAAAACAAATTATTTCTTTTCACTTTTTCAGGATATTAATAAAAAGTATTTAATAAAAAAAAGTTTAGTAGACTTAGGATTCTGCTAGGTGTGATTCTCAGAAGGAATCCTAATCTACAATTTTGAGAGAAAGCATAGATGATTTCCTTGTCTCTGTTTAAAGTTCCATTAAAATAGAAACCATATAAATCATAGCAGTGTGCTTAGGGATCCTTTTGTCTTGGCATTTGTGTTTTAGCACCAGAATTATTTCTTTTACTATCCTCGGAATTAAAATATTCCTAAAACGAAATGTGGTTGTTCTATAACAAGAACCAAAGGAAATAGCTGTATCCTAATTATGAAAAATCATAATTGGCAGAATGAAAAAGATGCCGAGGTCAAGTTTTAAAAAAAAATCTAGTATAAAAAATATATATGTTTTTTTACACATATAGATTGGAATTGGTTTTGAGACATTTTAGAGCAAGAAAAATATCAGTTTATGACTCCTTTTGTGAACATCTTCATGACTAAGGGGAGAAAAACCACTACTGTTTCTTTCTATAAGGCTTTGACACAATATTAAAATCAACCACACTATCTGCACCATCTCTCACAAAGACAGATGCCAATTTGAAAAAACTTTTTCTTGTCTGTTAACTATGCTTTGATGTCTACTTTCAGCTCAGGATAGCCAACTGGTTTTCTAAGCAGGAAATGTATATCTAAGAGCACTTACCTACAGAAATACCTATTAAAATATAAAACAAACAAACAAGCAAACAAACAAAAAACCTGGAGGTACCTTCCTCATTTCAGCGAAGCTAAAATTATTCACAAGAAAATGAGGATTGTAGTTACCTTGGAGAATAGGAAAATTAACACGTGCAAGAAAAACTTAAAAGAAAATTTACCTCTTCATGGAACCTGAGGATATTTTGTTGTAAGGTCAGTTATAATAGCAAGACTTTTGTAATACAATTGCAATCATGTGATAGAAATGTTATTGTTGGAAAAGAAAAGGCTGCAGCCCAGTCACATCCTGTGCTCTGTATACTAAGACTCCAAAAGATGTCCAAGAGGCCATTTCTCCAAAGACAGCAATATCTATTTTATAGCACTTTCATAGTCAGCAATCTGTATGTTTGTAGGAAGATATGTAAGTTTTGTATTTAAAAGAATTCTAGAGTCTAAGATTGACTTTATTGACTTTTGTGGTGGCAGGGGCGGGGGGAGGGTGCATTACCCCTTTCCAAGGAATAGTTTCCTCATCTTATTCTGATAGCTTATGATCATTTTTAGAGACATTCTGAAAACTTTAACTGCTGTCCTTCCTCCATATTTCAGTGATGGTATACCAGGAATAATGTCTATTTTCAAATTATATTAGATTTTCATTCAGATCTTAAAAATGCTGAAATCTGATGGATTAGCCTTTTTAAGGGAGTTGTAAGAATCGTAGTGTCTAAATGATGAGTAAATGTGCTTCCCTTTGAAGTTGGTGTTATCCTTGGCAGATAGCACTGTATCATGCTCTTCACCAAGCTATACTCTGGTGATGATATAATGGAGGATCTTAACTTGTGAGCCTACAGTCAACATACCATTGCCCCAAACAAATCTTCATAATAGCAGATTTGCTAAGGGGGAAAGGGAATAAAGTGATATTTTCATGGAAATTATGATTGTTCCATTAAAATGTATATTGAGTATATATTATTCCACATTGAAATTTTATTTTGCTTTAACTTGTTAAGCAATTAATTTTAGCAATCTTGCATCCCATTTTACTGGTACTACCTCTGAACACTATCACTTTAAAACCATATCAGACTGTAATGTGAACTTTTGTAGGATTTTTATTTAAACTTTTATAGAGGCAATAAATGATTTCCAACTAATAGAATCTATTTCTTTACTTTAATATTTATTTTTCTAAGTATTTGTGTTATAAGCACTGTTCCCTTTTTAAAGATGTTTTTTTTTTTTCTCAAAAAATAAGCTTCTGATAAAAAGACAAAAAATACAGATAATAAAAAGGCATTGAAGGTTACAA